ATTACATATTGCCAAACCAAATCCAATGACACTGTGTAGTAGATACTTGAAATGTAATAGTCTTCTAAAGCTCACTAAAAACATGCAACGGAAGTTTTACTAGTAGACCATTTAATCTTCATTGATGCTTCTCTTTACCTTTTTTACTATAACAAAAAAAACTAATTTTCGGCATCATTTCGTATATATACGGCGGTGGCCATTGATAATGCATTGCTAAATGTTCCTTCTTAATAAAATAAAGACTGGATGGGCTATTGTAGCTAAATGCATAGCAGCAGAAGATGATGAGCTGAGAACCTCTTGCAGGTGTTTTGTTATTCTTCGGATTCAGCTTTGGTTTTCCTGCTTTCATTATTCACATCTATTCATTCAAATTGAACAATTTTTGGCAGATCTTAATTTTGTCGGTTGATTCAAACATATATTTAATTAATTACTCCTATTTAGAGGAGTTTAAGTTTGAACTCCTATATTAAGGATATGATTCATGTTTTACTCCTATTTAGGGGGTTTTCTTTTTGGGATTTGGGCTATTACCACTACGGGTAGGATTAGGTTCAAGTAATTTAATATTATTATTATTATTATACAATCTTTATATTTATTTATTCAACTGTAATGTCTATTTTACTCATCACGCTTTATACGTTATGTCCAAATTTAACAAGCTATATACCGTTGGTCACCATTCCTCGAAATCTATCCGAAAACCCAATTTTCATTTAAAACGGAAAACTTTATAAATAATTCATATTTTAGAGTAAATAAATATTATATTTATTTTTATTAAAATAACGGCTAACTAGTAAGCCGGTTTTCGGGTCGTTACAATTTCCCCCTTTTTGATAATATCAAACAAGACGGGGATATGCATATAGGAAAAAGTTGCGTTTAAAAAGTTTTGAAGATGTCCCCCTTAGTTTATGCATAAGTTAAAAGCATTCCCCCTTAATTTATGCATAGCCCTTATTAGGGGTGGACATGGACACGGTACGGTTCCAGGCCAGTTCCGGTTCCGGAACCGCCGGTTCCGGTACAGCCACCCCATGGTATCGGCACCGTGACCGGACCGGTGGTACCGGTTCCCGTACTGGCGGTTCCGTTACTGGACCGGCCGGTTTCGGCCACCCCTAATTATTATTATTTTTTCTTTTTTTTAAAATTTTTAAAGTGTAAAATTGTAAATTTGCAATTGTTAAAGGAAAGAATGAAATAAAAAATCTAAAAATGTAGTTGTTATTTAAATATTGTAAAATGAGTAATACACGAACTGAAGAACAACTACATTTAATATCCTGACGGTTCAAAAAAAGCGACGAGGTAAAGAAACCCTCGAAGGAGCTTATATATCGCTCACCTAAAGAAAACTAATTACATATTTACATTAACATAAAAAATGTTTATAACTTATTCCTCAGAACTCGGACTTCCATCTGTGGTTGCATTCATGTAATGCTCCGAATTGAATTCGTACCCTGACTCTTGAGCTCGACGTCTTGCCAAGAGCCAATCTTGGTTGCAAACAAGTGTTTCAAGAGATTCAGCGTTAAGACAACTTCGAAAGTCGGTTAGAATGTTGCCGCCAGCACTGAATTCTCGTTCCACAGCTACGGTTAATACCGGGACGGACAACACTTATCTTGCTAGCTTTCCAAGACATGGGAACATGTGTTCGTTCCGCTTCCACCATCCGAGGACGTCAAACTCCACGTCGTCCTCGTCATAATCGAATGGCACCCCTTGGTATATAGCAAGTTCATTGTGCGAGCTTATTGTTGTACCACTTGAACTCGTCGAAGGCTAAGCACGCTTCCCTTTCTTTGCAAGAAGCCCACCGACTATTCCTTTAAAACCTTTTTTTTGATTTGGGGGCGGAGGAGGTGTTGTTTCTTTTGGTACAGTACCGTATAATCCTTGCTATTCTTTAAACAAATCCTCAAAAAGAGTTATAGCATTATCTCTTTCATTTTTCCATTCTATTAAATAGTTGTAGTAATAACTATTTTCATCTAAAAAACAAGTGTAGTAATAGTCAATTAGAATTTTAAAATTTTCAATCTTAAAGCGTGAATCACAAATAATACCTATTTTATAGATATCGGGAATGTACAAATAATAAGCACACCATTTATCTCTTATAGGAGAGACATAAGGGTACAAATCTGGATCAGCCAAACTCTCACGAAAACATGTTGCGATTGTAACGCACTCTTTAAAAAATGTATTTGTAGTTGGTTGGTAAACATGCGAAAAAGTAAGAGTTGTGTTATTAAAAACTTCTAATACGGCATTCAATTTTTCAACAATAACAAATTCAATAGGTGAAATGATTATACGAAGTTCATCACTAAAAAATTCAGCAAGTTCCTCTTTATAACTTAGAATCTGTGCTATCAACTTGTAAGTACTATTCCATCTAATGTGGATATCTTTGGCAAATGTTATTTCTCTTCTACCCTTAGACTTACAGAATATCTTCCAAGACCTCGAAATAAAACGAGCCCCCAAAATTTTTCTAATTCCTTCTTTAATATTCGTCAAAACCCCCCCATAGCTTCGAGTCCCTATTGTACACATAAATTTAAAACATGACAGGCACACTGTTGATGGAAAAATCTACCCATAGTCGTAGTAAGGGGGCAAATTTCTCTAAGTCTAGGAATAGCAGTAGTATTATTAGTAGGATTATCAAAACCAAATGCAAAAACTTTATCAGCTAAGTTGTATTCCTGCAGAATACTCTGAAGCAATAGAAAAATATTTTCAGCAGTATGAGAATCATTGAAATCATGAAATGCAAGAACACGTTTATGCATAATCCAATCACTATCTATCCAATGACAAGTAACACCCATATAAGACAAATTATGATATGTTTCACTCCAAATATCAGAATAAATAGCAACACAAGAATTAAAATTGAGAAAAAAATTTGCCAAATTTATTTTTTCAGTTTTATACTGGCGAATAATTTCTCGTTTAATTGTTTTTCTTGAAAAACCTCTTGCTTGAGGGTTTAATGCCTGTTCACAAATCATTTCGGCCATTTTTTGTTTATTTTGCGCGTCGCTATAAGCAAAAAGGCCGCCCTTACCCCTGTTAGCAAACCGATAAATTTGGGTTTGCACTTCTTGTCGTTCCTTCTTTTTCGCCGCGTATTTGGCGTACTCCACGGGATGCCTCGACCTTAGGTGTTTTTCTGGACCGTCATAACCGCCGGAAACTCCCATTTTAATGACGGTCCCACAATATTTACAAGTTCCATAAACTATGCCATCTTTTGTTTCCTTTTCAAAATGATAAACAAATAAATCCGATTTTAATTTTTTTTTACCTTTGTCCGGACCTCAAGAGGTCTCGGGCTCACCTGCCTCCACGTTGACAGCGTTGCTGTGCGGTGTAAGCTCCCCGTCCCAGTCCAGATTATCCAGTCATGCTTCATCAACATCCTCAAATAGACTATCAAGAGTGGGGAGATTCGCGTCCCCTCTACTAGAATAAATCTGGTCGAATTTTTCATCCGTCATACCGTCCCCGATGAATTGATCGGGGATAGTAGGAAAGGAAGAGATAGAGTGTCTTTCTCAAGAACCGCGTGAGGTCGAACCGTCGGAGGTGGCTTTAGCTTTGCCTTTCCTCAAACTTCTGTTCACGGCACCCATATCCACAGACCTTCTACCGGGCTCTCTCGACATTTTAATATATATATTTTTTGATATTAAAAAAAATAATATATTAAATTACGAAAATTTTAAAAAAAATCAAGATTTTATATATTATAATTTCAAAAATTTCAAAAGTTATAAATGTTTTTAAAAATATAATTTAATTAAAAAATTAAATATATATTTAAATTAATTATATATTAAATTTTCGAAAAAATTTCGAAATTTTATATTTTAAAATTTCAAAAATTTCAAAATTTTAATGGTAGTAAAAAACTAAAAATATATGATAATTGATAATATGAGTAATGAATGTATTTATAGGTTATTACAATATTATTTAATATATTAATATTTATTTATATTATTATATGAATATGAAATGTATAAAAGTTAAAAAGAGATAATAAGATTGAGAGATTGAGATTTGAGAGATTGATAGATTAAGAGAATGAGAGATGGATTGAGAGATTGAGTTATTTTTTAGGAAAAAAATGTAGAATTTATAGTAATTTGAATCCCCCCTCCCCTCCTCTCCCCCCTTCCCCTCCCCCACCTCAAACGGCTATATTTAGCCGTTTGAGGTGCCCCCACTAATTTTTTTTGCAGGTTTGACCGTTTGAGTGGAGCAAAAGCAAAAAAAAAATTAACCGGTACCGGAACCAGACCGGTACTGCCGGTGTCGGTACCGAAAAATGGGTACCGAAACCAGTACCGAAGTGGGCGGTACCAGTACCGGTTCTACAAACTGGTGGGCTGCCCCGGTCGGCCGTGACGGTGTCGAGTACCGGCGGTACCGTTGCCGGTCACGGTACCATACCGGTACCGTGTCCACCTCTAGCCCTTATCTTCCCCCTTTTGAGATTAACAAAAAGATTTTTGAACCATAAAGATTTTATTTATTAAGGGAAAATGTGGAGTACACTATGGAAGCATAAAAAAACAAGCATAAATGAGAAGAGAGCAAATATTTAAGAGAGCCAACCTCCACGTTCATCGGGTCTCAGTTAACCTCCTCATCAAGCTCATCAACATTCGGTGAGCTTGAGGCAGCGTATGAATCATTTTTTTCAAATTGAGTGTAGTCTTTCCCGAGGAAGGTGGATTGGCATGACATAGGCAAGTAGTTGACACGGTTAAAGTAGGCTTGCATGGCATAGCCTTGGCATTGAACTGTCGTGTCAATACACTCAATGGTGCTGCCCATCCCATCGATCGTGAGGCTTAAACGCTGAATGGATTCAACAATGGAGGAGAGAGGCCCGGCTGGGTGCTCGATTTTGGCATCGAGCTGATGCATCGTCGCTGGACCTCTTCTTGAATGTTTGGTCGCTAAACGTCCATAGTTTACTGGCCTTGGAGAAGGCGCCAACAATGACTAGGACATCAAGATTGTCAAGAATCTCCATGACGAGGAAGGTGTAGGGTAGGAATTGGTCATGACCGATGGAGGCGGCGTCATGTGGATCATGATGAACTTTGCCCAGTTCACCAGCGCGACATGGATGATGGTGTAGATGAGTTTGAGGTTTTCCATTGACATGATGGTGTGACTACCATCTTGGGGCTTGAGAATCCGGCTCACAATGTTGCGAAGCAGCCTATTCTTGGGAGGAGCAAAGTGGATGGTTGGCTGTCGTGAGGCATGGCATCGCAGATTAATTATCCCATGTTCATCGATCACAACCCATTCGTTGTTGGGAATGAAATATTCACCACCATCAGTGGAGATATCTCCACCTTGAAAGGGAATGTTGGCAACTTAGTCAAGAGCCTCCAGTGTTAACTCAAAGTGGCGATAATTGACATGGGAGTAGATGACGTCGCATTCACGCTTAAGGTTGGAGTAGAATGATCGGATGAGAGGAGGATTTATGTTCTTTTGCTACTTGGACACAAACGGCCACAACCCGGATTGATTAAGATTGGTGTCAAGGTTTTCGTAGCCTTTTTTCTCCAGATAGTCTTCTTGAAGAACCCTTGGCGGAGCAATTTGCTAGTTAGCATAGTAAGTTAGGAACCGTGTGAGTTCTTCGCCGGTTTGGAACTAGAGGGTGGACCCATCAAAATATGGAAAGGAGGGCAGTGCTGTGGGGAAAGAGGCTAAAACTCCTTTCAATTTCTCCTTGGAGGTAGTGGCTCCCTTGGTTTTGGTCTTTTCTTTGGCCATTTGCACATATTTTTGGGAGAGAACTTGAAAAGGATGAAGAAAGTAGTTTAAGTTATCCAAAATAGTTTAAATGATCAATGAGCGGTTATGTTGAGGCTTGTGGGATTCAAGTTCTCGGTTTGTAAACGGTTTGTCAAGCACCCGTTGAAGCTTGATAAGTAGTAGTAGCTTCGAGAGAGCCTCTCGGGGAACTAGACTAGCCACGAGGTGTTGAACTAGTATACAATGGTGTGTTCTTTTCCTTCTCTCTTTTATTTCACTGCATACTAGTTTATATTATTTACACACTAATCCTGCAAAAACCGTAAACATTCTCAACAACTCTATTCACCCCCCCAATCTAGAGTTGCACGCATTGTCTACAATTGGTATCGAAGCGGGTATCTTTAATGCTCATTGTGACGTTTGAGAAAATGATCAATTTTTTTTGAGAATGATAAACACATGAATTAGAGAAGGGAAATCCACTGAAGGACCACCATTGTTCAATGGAACAAATTATTCATATTGAAAAGAGAGAATGAAAATATTCATTCAATCCACTGATTACAAATCATGGATGATAATAAAAAATGGACTTTGTTTTCCAACAAAGAAGGTTAGCAAGAAAAGAGTCCTCAAACCCAAAGAGGAGTACACGGATGATGATTTCTAAAAGGTAGAACAAAATGTTAAAGCTCTACACCTTCTATATTGTGCCATCGACATGGAAGTATTTCGAGCATTCTCGGGTTACACAACAGCCAAGAAGTTATGGGACGACATTCAAGAGAAATACGAAGCTCTTGAAGAAGCAATTGAAGAACCCCAAACTTGCTTCTTGGCCAATGAAGAAGAAGAGGTAACTACTTCAAACTCTCCTTCTTTTGAAAAATTACAAGAAACTTTTATAGAACTATTTGGTGAATTCAAGAAAGCTTTAAAATTTGCCAAAGAGGCTAAAGTTAAACTTCATGCTTTAGAAAAAGAAAATAAATTTTTATAAAATGATAATCTTGACCTTAAAAGTAAAATTAAGGCAATGAATGAAGCTTCTTCTATTAACCATAGCTCTACTTGCTCCTCTTCTGAATCTTTAAAATTAGAGAATATAGAACTAACACTATAGAAAAACCTAAGGTAGAAGAGCCTAAGAAAATCAATAAAAAAGGGAAGATAAGTAGGCCACCAAGAAGAAATAATTCTAGGAATTTTAAAAATGTCAGGAATAATTTTAGACAATCTAAAAATGACTCTAGGAAATTTAAAAATGATAGGATAAATTTTAGACAACCTAGAAATGAGTCTAGGAATTTTTATTCTAGGAATAATGATTTTAGATCACCTATATATTATTTGGCTCAACCTAGGCATATGCACAACCCGAACGTAATATGTCACTATTGCAATTGGGTAGGTCACATAGCACCCGTATGTTTTACTAAACATAGGGATTTATATTGTGATTATGATTATTATGTTCCTAACCATCCCAGACCCAGAAGTGGTTGGGTACTGAATTTTTATTTTTAGATGCACTATGGAAGGTGTGCTTGAAGACTACAAATTTGTAGTGGATGCTTCAAGCACTTAACCAAAGAGATTGCATCAAAGCCCAAAGGGGAGTGATTACATAATTTTCTTGTACATGAATTTTATGTGATTAATTTTGGAGAATATATATATATATATATATATATATATATATATCTATATATATATATATATATCTATGAATATATATATATATATATATATATATATATATATATATATATATATATATATATATATATATATATATATATATATATATATATATATATATATATATATATATATATATATATATATATATATATATATATATATATATATATATATATATATATATATATATATATAGGTTGACATGCATATAGTAAGGGGGAAGTTGTTTTTGTTCTAAATGTGTTGATTCTTTTTGTATGCCTTATTTTTTAAGGGGAAGATAGCATACATTGAGGGGGAAATATTTTTATTTCCTAGAAATGCATTATTTTAGAGGGAATGTGATTTTTCTTAATTGTTTAAAAATTTTTTCTCCCCGAATGCATGAGTTCTTTTGTTGCATAATTTTTGATAATGCCAAAAGGGGGAAGAGTGAAAGTCGGTTTACACCCTAAGAGGGGGGTGAATTAGGGTGTTTGCAAGTTTTTGGTAAAAACAAAAACTTATGCGCAAAGTAGTAGCGGAAAAAGAGCAAGAAAAGTATAAAAGATAAAAATACGACACAAGCAATTTTATACTGGTTCGGGAACTCCCTACTCTAGTACCTCGAGGCTCGTCCTCAAGGATTTAACCTCCACTAACTTGTTTGGCTTCACTAAGAAGACTCAAATGAGGTTTGGCAAACAACCCTTGCCAATAAGCAAATGAGATTTTACTACGGCTATCTCAACCGTTTACAACCGAAGATTTTAAGGCTATCTTCAACCGTACAACGAGGATTTAAAGGCTATCCACACCTTATACAAATCAATAAAAGATTGGTGTTGCTTCTCTACCAAAATGATAACAAATATGAATTGGGTAGGAGAAGAACAAAAGATTAAATCAACAACAACAAAAGCCTATAGGCAAGATATAAAATAATGAAGCACAAATGCCCTTGTGTGTGAGTGTATAAAAATAATGAAAGCTTTATACTCAAAAGAGTAAGAAAAATAAGAACAAAGCTTTTAGAACACTCAAGAATAGAGAAAGAGGCTTTAGATTTAATTGGGAAGTTGTTGTTCTTAAAATGAGACTTAGAGGGGGTTTATATAGGAGTTTGGAATGTTAAAATATGAATTTTTAACCTTAAATGCCGTTAGGAAGTGATTAGGGGTGATTTGAATTTAAATTGGCAATTGGATACAGTGACTACAACGGATCTGGTACCTTCACGGTAGGATCAGTACCGTCCAGTACCTAAGTACCGTGAGCAAGGTACAGCCTACCGTTTGGGAGTACCGTATAGGCCAAATATTGGTTTCGCCTCTAGCGGTACCTAGTTAGGACGGGTTGGGCCAACCGCCGTTCCCTACCGTCGGTACCTAGGTACCGTGACACGGTAGGGCGGTACATTCACTTGGCTACCGGCGGTACCCTGGTGCCGTGTACACGGTAGCCAGGTACCGTTTGACCTGTGCAATTTTTCCAAAACTTGTTTTTGTGTTTCGTTTTTAAAATAACCCCAACTAAGAATATTTTTGACATTTTAGAAATAATTTTTGAGTGAAAGGGCATAAGTATATCATTAAAATATATCGTTACCTTTACACAACTATTTCTAAACTCGTAGGAGTATATCTCGGTGATGCTAAACAAGCTAATAGAGGTTTGGCGTTTGTTTTCTTCCTGCAAATGATGTTAGTAGCATTGGGAAGACTTATTTGGCACATCAAAACAGTTACGGGGTACGGCATTCAAGGCCAACAATCTCCCCCTTTTTGATGTTGACAAATAAGGCTTTCTAATATAATAATCAAACGCACAAACATATCGTGAAAAGCATATATTGATTTTAAAACCCCCCCTAAGTTGATGCACGTGATATTTTGACAAAAACTCCCCCTAAATGTATGCATATGAAAGCCTAATATTTCTCCCCCTTTTGGCAACATTCAAAAAGATGGGGTACCAAAACATCAATTTCAACACATAGGCATTCATCACGGCAACAATTATAAGCATCAAGCATCATCAAACCATAAGCAAGGAAATCATAAGCATAATCATAACAAAGGAGTTTGAGTCATACAAGTGCATAAATAAGATTTGGAAACATAAACATGACAAAGAGTTTTAAAACTTAGGCAAAATACATAATGTTTGATCATATTGTCAAATGCCCAACACTTAGTGACGACGTCTAGAAGTTGTGGGACAACCTGGTGAACTTGTGCCTTGTCTGTGTGGGGATGCTTGCCAAATACCTAGGGGGCACTCTGGCCGTAGACCTAGGGGAGGGGTTTGTATGGCAGGGTGAGGTCACTTTGGTGTTAAGTTGTCCTCCTCGACGATGGTGGACAACTTCTGGTACTCGGGGCGTGGCCCTTAGCACGTCGGTGGTATCTATGGCAAGGATAACATAACTCCTGCTTCTATTGGATGCAACCATGAATGTAGAACTTTTGGACTGATTTTTGGAGTAGCTTTGCGGACCACCTGTGTGAATATATGCGATACCAGATCCTTGAGAGGGAGTACGTATGGTTGGAGTTGGTTTGTCCCACCAATATATACTCCCTCCTTGCTCTTGCTTTGCCTACCGTATGCCGTTGATGGTGCAGGGTACTGGAAGCTGGAAGTGGATTCCGCAAGAGCTTGGACGTGCTGGATTACACTTTTGATTTGTTTCTGGATGTTTATTTTGTACGGCATGTGTGCCAACTTTGTATTGTTGTTTGTTTGTTACCCATTTGGGCTTGTTGTTGTAAGTGTCTTATACATGCATGGAACCATTCTTATGGTTTAGCATTTGACATTGATGTACCATTTTGATTAGGGTAATAATAATTTACATTTTACCCTAGAAGCACGATCCTCATTTTGCTTTTGGCGATTCTCACGGTCCTCCATCTTCTTCATCCGATCTGAGAGGTCATCGAGGCTTTCCTGAAGTTTCCTCATCGGAGCCACCACGGTCTTGAGAATGAATTTCTTGAACTTCTTGAAAGGATTTTTTGAAGTGGAGGCCATGGGGGAGTGACGTTGTAAGAGAGAGGTTGAGGAAGCATGAGACGCCAACTTTGAGCGTTTGACTCGAGGAGCACGAACGGGGACCTCCGTGTTTGCATTTTCTTCGGCTACGGCTCGGGGTGCTCGTGAAGTGGAAGGCAAATATGACATGGAACGCCGAGGACCATACTCCGCTCGTGTCGCTTCATCAAGATTTTGAAACTCCTTCTTCATGTAATACTCCTCTCCAATTTTTACAAGGTCACAATAGCCAAGGCACTCCGCATCAAGATAGCGGACACGAGAAGGGCGCACCTCAAGAATTTCCCTCTTGGCAAACATGTGGGTAAGAAGCATGCCATAGGGTTTGTTTTGGCGACCGGAGCATTCGGACATGTGTTTTAAGATGATGGAAGGGAGATTGATTTTCTTGTGAGTGGGGAGCCAATATAAGAGAGTGCATTCATAAACCCCAACTTGTTTATCTTTGTTAAGGACCGGGATGACATTTTCTTTGAGGATTTTGAGAAGGATGAACCTATTTGCGGGTAAGTCTTGGACATTTGGCCTACGAAGAAAGTAGTGCGGGTCCTCAAAGACATGGTCAAGGGTAATGTTATTAAGCACCCGGAGGCAAGAATCGGAGTTAAAGTCTCGTGAGTCGGTAATCCACCCCTTTTTGCAATAGGTGGAGACTCCTTGACGCCCTAGGTGAAACCATTCGGAAAGATTTTAGGTGTTGAATCCGAAGGTTTTACGAGCAACTACGGCGGTAATGGAAGGATCTTCGGGATGGTATTTCATTGAAGAATAGAATTGATGAACAAGTTTCGGGTAAACGGGGGCTTGGAGTTGAAGAAAGAAACTCCAACCTTGTTCTTGAATAAGTTCAAGAACGGGAACCGGGATGTCATCTTGTTTTAGGGTTCTTCCCTCAATGATATGTGGGTCGGCATAAGCCTTGAACCCATCTTGAACATCGGGTTGAGCATTGGTTTGAACATTTGAAACAATTTCACTCATTTTGGAGATTTTGAGAAAATAGGTAAAATTGGACAAAAAATGGGGAAATTTATACCTAATGCACGAATTGAGGAGAGTATTTGAAGAAATTGAACCTAATGTTTGAAGAAATTGAAGAATTTGGATGAGGAATTACCTTGATTGAGATTGGAGAGACAAACGACGCATGGGAGAGGGAGAACACCGGGAGAAATTTGCAGAGACCGAGTGGAAGAAATGACAGAAGCTAGGGTTTTTTTAAAGAGGTTTGACCCGTCGCGACGGTCGGTACCTAGGTACCGTGTATACGGTACGCCATACCGTGTCCAGCTACCGTGCAGCTTCAAAATCCCATTCTTCTCTGGCGGCACCTATTTAGGACGGGACCTGGGTACCGTCAGAGGTACTGTGTCTCAGCTTAATGTTTTGTTTCGACTTCTAGACGCGTGTTTTTAGCATTTGGACTTGATCAATTTATTTTTATGATATAATGGGATAATAAGAGCCTTAAATTTCACTTTAATTCAAGCATTCCCATTTCCCGACAAATATGTAAAAATTGTTTTTCATCCAATGGTTTTGTAAAAATGTCAGCACGTTGTTCAAGCGTATTTACATATTCAATTTGAATGTCTCCCTTTGCAACATGATCACGTATGAAATGATGTCTTATTTCTATATGTTTAGTTCTAGAATGCAAAACGAGATTTTTGGAAATATTTATTGCACTTGAGTTATCACAAAAAATAGGTACTTTTGAAAATTTTAAATTGAAGTCACTAAGTGTTTGCATCATTCATAAAATTTGAGCAACACAACTACCCATAGCCACATATTCCGCTTCGGCGGTGGATAGGGCGACGGAGTGTTGTTTCTTAGATGACCGAGACACTAGTGCATGACCTATGAATTGACAAGTGCCACTTGTGCTTTTCTGATCAATACGACACCCGCCAAAGTCAGCATCACTAAAACCTATCAAACTTAAATTCGTATTCTTGGGATACCATAACCCCATATTGGTGGTTCCTTTGACATAACGAATTATTCGCTTGACGGCATTAAGATATGATTCTTTGGGTGATGATTGGAAACGTGCACAAAGACAAACGGAAAACATTATATCGGGTCTTGATGCAGTTAAATAAAGCAAACTACCAATCATACCTCGATATACCTTTTCATTTACGGGTTTTCCGCTTTCGTCGCTATCAAGCTTCAAGGATGTGCTCATTGGAGTCGGATATGTTTTTGAGTCTTCAAGGTTGAAATTCTTGACTAATTCTTTTTCATACTTGGTTTGGCTATTGAAAATGCCATCTCCAAGCTGCTTAATTTGAAGTCCAAGGAAGAAGTTCAACTCACCCATCATACTCATTTCAAATTCGCTTGTCATAATTCCTAAAAATTCGTTACATAAGGCTTCATTAGTTGACCCAAAAATGATATCATCAACATAAATTTGCACAATTATGAGATCTTTTCCTTTTGTTTTGACAAAAAGTGTGGAATCGATCTTTCCTTTTGCAAATCCATGTGAGATAAGATGTTTGGTAAGCCGCTCATACCAAGCTCTAGGAGCCTGTTTGAGTCCATAAAGAGCCTTATGAAGTTTAAAAACATGATTTGGAAAATCAGGATTTTCAAAACCGGGAGGTTGTTCAACATAAACTTCTTCTTTCAACCATCCATTTAGAAAAGCACTTTTTACATCCATTTGAAAATGTTTGAAATTTAGAGCACTTGCAAAAGCTAATAACATTCAAATAGATTCAAGCCTAGCAACCAGAGCAAAACTTATGACGAGAGTCAAGTCTGTTGAAACACGGGCTTATCACGTTTTCGTACTAAAGCCATGTTCGTTTTTGTGACAGGTTTTGATAATGCCAAACTACCGTGATCAAGACACAAATTGAATATACAAAGCGAAGAACGAAGATAAGAGCAAGAGCTAAACGAAGACCAAGAACGAAGACCATAGTCTTAGTATCGTTGAGTCGGTCTTAATTGTGATCAAGACCAACCCAATCTTTACACCTTGGCTCTTTAGGCTAAAATCTTTTCATTGCATTTCTCACATCATAAAAATGTTTTTCAAACATGTTTAAGTCATTAAAAATACTTGGTGTTCGCCCAAACCAAAAACCAGGCCATCCGGCGTTCGGCATTCGGTTATCGGCGTTGGTTTTTGGCGTCCGAACCAACTAAGTGGTTTTCAACATTTTATGAGTGCTTTTTACTCTTTGGAATGTTTAAACAGTTCTCCAACAAAAACACCTTAAAAACCACCTTTCGTGTTTTGGTCGTTTGGGAAAAACCACGTAAAACGGCATACACTTGGCTAGCCGTGGTTTTTACCCAAATGACGTGGTTTTTAAAGTGTCTCACATGATTTCTTAGCCAAATAGCTAAAATAAGTGTTTTAAACACTTGGTTTTTATTTTGGAGAACTTTGAATTTTTTGGTCGGTTTTTGCATCGGTTGGCTAGGTCGTGGTTAAGGCAAAAACCATGGGTTTTTGGCTAACCACCCACCCAGCGATGGGAAGAACTTTCCATCGATGGGTAGGCAGTCCTTCAGCCTACCCAAGTTCTAGAACCATGCCAAACAGCGATGGGAAGTTCTACCCATCGCTGTTAAAGCCTTGGTCCAACATCAACAAAAGGCAAAATGACCTTTCCCAGCGATGGGGACTTTACCCCATCGATGGGAAGGCTAAACCATTGATGGGAAGGTATGACCGTTGGAAGTGATTTAAGGTTGATTCTTTCCTTGTTTGGAAGTCAACCTCCCACCCAGTGATGGGAAGCTTGTACCCATCGATGGGTAGGTGACCGTTTGTTAGAATAAGTGACCAACGCTAGAGGGGGGTTGAATAGCGTTTGATCGTAGAAGTCGCAGGAATAAAAAAATTAAGAACGTGAAAAGTAAAGAGCGTAGAAAGCGTAAAGGGAGCACACCAAGATTTATATGGTTCACCACAACGTGTGGCTAATCCAGTCTCCCGAGAGACTCTCTCGAGCTACACTACTTCCGTTAAGCTTACGAGTTCTTAACAAACCGTTACAACCTGAGAACTCGAGTCCCACGAGCAACCTTGCTCGGAGATACCGCACTCCAAGACTTCAACCCGAAGGAAAATACCTTTCCTTCGTACAACCAAGGGAAACAAGCTTCCCTTAACCTGTATACAACACTAAGACACTCAAGAACAAGACTCTCCTTAAGAGTAGATATTGAGTAAACTGTATACGCTCAAGAACAACTCAAACTTCACAAATTGGCTCTAGAAAGCTATGAAAAATGATGTTGTTTGAATGCAATGATAATATGAATATTGTGAAGTGAATTGGTGAGAAAAGCAGACCCAAACACCCCTTTTTATAGTGCAAAATTAGGCTCCAACGGACCAATGCATTAAAGGAGTGATTAGCTTGATTTAAGGGATTGAAAAGATTTGGGATCTGCAGAATATTGGCTTCCCATCGATGTTTAGACTCAACCATCGCTGGTAAGCCAATTTTCCTTCAGTTTTGAAGCCAACGGTCACCTACCCATCGATGGGTAGATGCTTCCCATCGCTGGGTGGGAGGTTGACTTTCAAATAAGGAAAGAATCAGCCTTAAATAACTCGCAACGGTCATGCCTTCCCATCGATGGTTAAGCCTTCCCATCGTTGGGTTCCCATCGATGGGTAAAGCTTCCCATCGCTGGGTAAGGGCATTCTGCCTTGTGGTAATGTTGCACC